CGCGGCCCAGACGCGCGCCGCCGCTCTCGCCGCGGCCCAGACGCGCGCCGCCGCTCTCGCCGCGGCCCAGACGCGCGCCGCCGCTCTCGCCGCGGCCCAGACGCGCACACGCCGCTCTCGCCGCGGCCCAGACTATTCTCAAGTGACCAAAAAGAAAACATGGATTACAATATGATGTCATTCTTTCCAAAAAGTAAGCCAACATTTAGAAGCCAAATTGAGAAAAATAATATGTAGAGCCATCTTCAGCAGTGATAGCTTTCTTCAGCTTGTCGATGTTGGAGGCCGTTTATGCTCAGCCCCCCTAAGCTTCTGCCACAGCATCTGTGGGCTTGAGGTCAGCACTTGGCCAGTCCATCACCCGGAGTGTTTTCCTCTTCAGCCATTCTGAAATCCAAAATTCCTGGGCTTTCCCTCTCCTTCTCTGTGCAGGAGTCGTCCGAGGATGTATCTGGCGGCCTGCCCTTCCTGGCAGACCTCGCTCTGGGCCTCTCAGTTCTGGCCTGTTCCATGCTGCGCATCTTGTACAACGGGCCTGATGTGACCCGCGAGGAGGTGGCCTGCCAGGACCTGCTCTGCTCCAAGCTGCTGCAGAGGTGGGTGCCTAAGCCATGCTAATGCTAACATTGACGCTAATGTTCACACCACCACGTTAACGTCACGCCGCTCGCGTCCCCCAGGTGCCAGTGGCAGGTAGAGGCCAACGGTGCCATCTCCCCGGCCCTGACTCCCAGCCCATCGCCACTGCCGCTCACCATCGAGGAGGACCGCGAGTTCATCTACCCCTCGGACGCGCTGATGCCCCCACCAGGGCTTATGCCTGGGGCTTATTTCGACCTACCACGCATCCGCCTGCCCCCGGGAATCATGAGCCGTCTGCGGGAGGTGTCGGGCAGGGCCAGGCCCCAGTTCCGACCCAGTATCAAGTAAGGAACCGGGATTCACTCTGCTGTCCCGCTCTCTGATTTTTTCTTAAATAACACCAAAATGGTAGCCCCACTTAATAAATGGCAGTACAGGTACATTTTCTGCTGCGCCTTGACCTTTCACCTCTGTTACATCATCATCCAGCTGCAGCGTACTGAGTGTCAGCGCTTCTTACCTCTGCTTCCTCACTTAATCGTCCTGTGGGTTTTTAAAGCTGATTCATAATCCAGAGCTTTGAGGAGCCATGGTGTCAAAGGTCATGCTGCTTAGATCTTGTATGTGACTCACATCATGGCGATGTGGTCCCCTTTGATTGGTCCCCATAATGGCCACCTTTAAGCTCCCAGCTGTGGGTAATGGGGGCCCCCAGGCCGCGCCTACCTGTTCACTAGCAGAGTTCCATGCTGGCCTCTCTAGACTTGCCTGTCTTCGCTCCCCTCTGCCCCGACAGGGAGGTGATCCGGCCAGATGTCATCGAAGAGGTCATCGTGTCTTGTGTCATCAAACACCTGGCACTGGTGGATGCTCTCCAGTCTCTAGTCAACTTCCAGTACCGTGAGGAGCACTCTGAGGAACATGACCTGCTCTGCAAGATCATGGCGGAGACCTTCAAGAAGATCAACGCCATGGAGCGGCAGCTGCAGGTTGGCGCCTGTGTCCGTCTCAGCAGTTATACTTATGTTAATGAAGTCATTTGGGCATTTAGTCTCATTACTGCATCTCACCTGCAGCAATTTATTTGTGCTTGTCCACAGTTGACAGCTATGGCAGTGATTAGTAATACACTGAGCTAATTAACCTGATTGGTGTGAGCTGTAGTTCTGACTGCATTAACAGTGTTTTGAGTAGAGGAAGATTAGTAAATGAAATGTAAGTATATAACAATTGAAGTTAATATTGCTGTAGCACGTCTCCTGTGTGAGGTGCAGTGATTGTACTGGGTGTATGAGAGCCTGGCCAGCAGCTGTCTGAGTATGTGAACCAGCTGCCATTGGTGCAAGTGTGTGTAGTAAAGGTGAAGCAGAGGCTGTCATTTTATTCAGCTCTGTCATCTCCATGAAGTTGTTATGAAGTACGAGGGTAGCTCTCAGCCCAGGAATTACAGAACCCAAGGCATTCCGGGTGCGTGCTGTGCTGCGACTGTAGCTGGTGGGGACCTCAGTGGCTGCGTCACCATGACCATTTTAATCCACAATGTGTCTGTGCGTGCGTGTCTGTGCGTGCGTGTCTGTGCGTGTGTGTCTGCGTGCGTGTCTGTGCGTGCGTGTCTGTGCGTGCGTGTCTGTGCGTGCGTGTCTGTGCGTGCGTGTCTGCGTGCGTGTCTGCGTGCCTGTGCGTGCGTGTCTGTGCGTGCGTGTCTGTGTGTGTGCTCGTGGTCCGTCCCCCCTCTGCAGAGCGTAGCTGAGCTGGAGCAGAAGTGGCAGGGCGAGGTGGAGGAGGCGCAACAGGGCAAGCTGGAGAACAACATGCCCTTCTTCTACGATTACCACTTCTTCGAGGTGCCATCCGTCCCCAGCGAGCATTACCCCCAGGCTCCGATGGAATTCTTAAAGCTGATCTTTTCTCCTGGCTTTTCCAGAATAAGATTAAGGAGCTGGAGCTGCTATGTTCCCTGAAGGAGGTGCCTTTAGACTGCAGCGATCTGGAGAATGTGGTTCTGGCCTTGAGGTAAGAGTATGGATCAGTCTGGACCATGGAGATCTCACGCCTTCCCTGCAGGCACCTTCAATATGATGTCTGTACTTTCTTAATATTAAGCAAATCTAAACAGGGGCCAGACTGGCTAAATGTATGTTAAATATTCTACAGGGTGAGAGAAGACTTCCATAGAATATGCACTCAGAGCTCTGTCTCTCTGTCTCTGTCTGTCTGTGTGTGGGGGGGGCTGCAGGGAGAAGTTCTTCCAGGAGGTGAACTCCCTGCAGCAGAAGACAGGAGGCCCCCTGGCCAAGACCCGCTCCCTGGTGAAGAGCCTGATGAACCGTACAGAGCTGCTGCTGCATGTCACCATCGCTCCCCACTCACGCAGCCTGGCTGGGACACCCTCTGGGACCCCAGGTGAGCCCCCCACCCATGGGGGGGTGCAGTCTGTGTGCTCCACATGTGGTTCACTTCACATGCTATTAAAATGCTATTAAGTGGATCGGTGTCTCTAAATTGCCTGCTGTGTGTGTGTGTGTGTGTGTGTGTGTGTGTGTGAGAGAGAGAGAGAGAGAGAGAGAGCCCCCTGTGAAGGACTAGCTTCTTGCCTTGAGCTCTGTGCTTCTTGCAATAGGCTGGAATAGGCTGCAGGCCCATCAAGATCCTGTACTGGATCGGGCAAAAAGATTAAGTTAATCAGATTAATACCCACATCAACAGTGACAACGTCATTGCTGTCAGCGGCCTTGGCGAATAAGTCATTCCGATTAGTAACTGGTGGAAGGCTGTGTGTTCAGTCTCTCTTTGCTGTAGTTCTTTTGATGGTTGCCAGCATTTGGCAGCTTTCTCCTGGCCTCAGTCATCATGCATATTGAGGCTGTCTGTACTGACAGCATGTTTGCCGTCTGCATGGCCGGCTATTAAATTGCTCCCCCTTCAGCCTGCAAGTCGGTGTCGGACACCAAGTCCACCGTGCCCCCGGTGAAGCAGCCGGTCTTCCTGCGCAGCATGTCTGCGCCCTCTGACCTGGAAATGATCGCCAACCAGGACCTGGAGTTCACTCACAGTAGCCAGCGGTCAGTGGCGGAAGCACTCTCCATGGGAGAGAGCAGCTTCCCATTTGAGTCTCTTAAAGGAAATAAAAATGTGTTACATAATTATTTTCCTCCTTCCCAGGAGGTTTACAGAAATCTTTTTTATACACTGTGTTTTATGTAATGTGCTCTTGAAATAAACTGTTCTGTCATTGTGAAATAATCACTTGCTGATTTAGTGAATCTGGTGGGATTGCAGTTTTCCTTTCGGTGAACCTGACCTATTCCTGCCCCACCACTAGGAGGCGCCACCACCCAACCAGCCACCGCAGCAGCTCGTTCACCCTGCTGCAGTCGCTGGCCATCGAGGACAGCCGGGATAAGCCCACGTACAGCGTGCTGCTGGGCCAGCTCTTTGCATTCATCGGCACCACGCCGGACCAGGCCGTGAGCAGCCTGCCGCCTATAGCCCGCCCCCCCCAGCTGTCCCGCACAGTTTTACTCTGTTTTGTTTGTCCCATGTTTTTGCTGATAGTTTTTATACTTCACTACTGCTTTATATGGAGAGAGACTTGTTTGGACTTAATGCACACTCACAGCGGAGCTCACCAGCCCTGCCTGCTCATTGGCTGCCTAAGCCGCTTACACTTCCTGCTTCCTGTTCACCAGTTCTGGTTGTAGAAACCACAGCAGGCTGACGAAGCTCTCGGCTCCCGTTTAGGTGTCCAGCAGCAGCTTCCTGTCGGCCGCACAGACCCGCTGGAGGAGGGGCAACACCCGCCGGCAGGCGCTGGTGCATATGCGGGAGCTGCTGACGGCCGCCGTGCGAGTGGGTGGGGTCACGCACCTGGTGGGCCCTGTAACCATGGTGCTGCAAGGCGGGCCCAGGTACGATAGCCATTCTTGAGTGTGTGCAATGTGTAAAAAGGCACGGCCAAATATTGGGAACACCACAAGCAAAAGGATTGCAAGGGTGAGTCATATTAGGGAGAATTCCAGTTAATATCTATAAATGTCAGTTATTAGAGACTGGGCGGTCAGTGCTTTGGTTTGCAGGCCAAGGACATATAGTCAGGGTCCAAATGACAGGTGCAGTACTCACAAAACCTGCAGAATCATGGTGAAATGTTTCAAAAGTCATGAGAGTATATAGCAGAAACAGTGTTTATTTTATCTGGCTTCTGCATTTCAGTTGGATCTATGCAGACCTTTTAAAAAATTTTTTGCATGCATGTATTATTCAGATACTAAATGTGCAGACCCCATATTTGGATTAAACTAGCTTAAAATGTCTTTTTACTGATTGCGTCCTTAATAGATGGCATGTTCTAAGCTGATGGTTATAGTGGGGTTAAGGTGTATGAGCTCTGTTTTAATTACATGGAGGCCTTAATCGTTTAAGACTGGATTGAAACCCTCACAGGGCTGTAAGTCCACAACTGAGATGCGGAGAGATTAGGAGATTTAACTGGAGCAGAAACCAGAGGTTGTGTGCAGCACATTAGGACCATGGTGGCCTATCCAGTTTCTGCTGCCTGCGGGTTCGGCACGCCCAGCCCAGGATGAAGCTCCAGAATGTTTCTTCATGGCAGGATCGAGGAGCTGACGTGCGGGGGCATGGTGGAGCAGGTCCAAGAGGCCTTTGGAGAGACCATGACGTCCGTGGTATCGCTGTGTGCCCGCTATCCCATCGCTTGCGCCAACAGCATCGGCATGCTCTGCACCATCCCCTACACCAGGTGAGAGGGTCACCGAACCCCCACTGCACCCCCTCTTTTCTGCGGAGAGATAGGTCCCTGACCAACATGCCCACCCCAGGAGTGAGGAGCAGTGCTTGGTGAGGAGCGGCCTGGTCCAGCTGATGGACCGCCTCTGCAGCCTCAGCGGGCAGCGCGACAGCAGCTCCAGCGAGAAGCAGACCCGCAGGCAAAAGGTGGCCACCATGGCCTGGGCTGCCTTCCAGGTGCTGGCCAACCGCTGCATCGAGTGGGAGAAAGTGGAAGGTATGCTCTGCTGACTGTCCAGTAGGGGGCACTGCTGAGGGACCTGTTTGTTCATATAATCTCTGGCCACACAAAAGACACGTGACCCCCAGCTAAGCACCACCCCACCACACACTCCTTTCCCCAACAGGTGGCTCCACGGATGCAGTGCATTCTGGGTTGGCGCGGCAGGTATCCAGTCTGCTGACCAATCATCTGGCCCGGGCCACCGAATGCTGTGGGAACCAGGCGGCTGGGAATGAGGCTCTGCAGGATGTGCTGAGCCTCCTCAACGACCTGTCCAGGTGTGTGTCTGCCTGTGCGTCTTAGTTTATGTCTGTAAAGAAGGGAGTTGGTTGTTAGTCCTCAAGAAAAAGGGAAAACCTACATTTTCTCTGCATGTGTGTGTGTCCCTGCCTATTCCAGGAGCCACATAGGAAAGGCCATACTGAGCCAGCCAGCCTGTGTATCCAAGCTGCTGTCACTGCTGCTGGACCAGCGGCCGTCGCCCAAGCTGGTGCTGATCATCCTGCAGCTGTGCCGTGCAGCGCTGCCTCTCATGAGCGTGGAGGACTGCCGCAATGTGGCTCTGCCGCCCTGGAGCTACTCCATGCACGCGCTGGACACCGAGCAGCCGGACTCCGGAGACCCGGCCTCACGCATCGCCTCCTTGCTGTTGGCAAAACTGGCCGACTACGTGGTGCCAGGTGAGCTGCCCGCCCTGCCCTCTCGCTGCACTGGGCCATCCTCCCACCACACCCCACCAGGCTGCCCTCTCATCCTGCCCCTGGGTCACCCCCCTGCCCGCCCCGCTGGGCCGCCCTCCTCATCTGTACTCCTCCGCTCCAGGCTGCCAGACCCTGCTGTCCCCGAGCTCATCAGAGCCCGACACCAGCCTGACCCGCCTGAGCCCCAAGGGCTCACTGAAGCCCGATAAGGACGTCGAGGAGGAGGGGGAGGCCGTGGACGGCAAGCTCTCCATCTTTATCCACAAGCGCGAGGACCAGTCGTCCCACGAAGTGCTGCAGCCGCTGCTCAGGTACGAATGTCCGCGTACAGCGGGGGTGTTAAGGGGGGGTTCTCAGCACACGGTTTTCTTGCTAGTCGTCATAGTTATCATCTGTATGTTTGGCAGAATGACATTAAGAGCCAGAAACCAGCTGAAGTTTAAACGTGTAATCTTGTTTCTTAACAGTATCTGATGCATGTGAGGTTCCTCAGTTGTTAAATCTAGCGTCAGGGTATGTGCAGGGTATGTGCAGGGTATGTGCAGGGTATGTGCAGGGTATGTGCAGTGCTGTTCCTGCCCTGGGGGTGCGACTCACCCTGGGCTTTGGCTTTCCTCCTCCCTGGTCTGCAGCAGTTCTGAGGGCCGCCCCTTCCGGTTGGGCACCGGAGCCAACATGGAGAAGGTGGTCAAGATGGACCGCGACATGACCAAGGTTGGGGGCTCTGTGACGTCATCACGAGGTGGGGGTCAAAGTGGCATAAGGTTTTGCTGGGCAAGTTGCAGACTTGCGGCGTCTCTCTGGATCAGAGTGGGAGCTGTGAGGTGGTGACGGAGGAGGCGGCTGCCGCGCTGCGCAAGGCCACCAAGTGGGCCCAGTCGGGCCTCATCGTCAGCGTGGGGCCCCCAGTGGAGGCGCTGTCCCTGGAGACCGCCGGCGGCGTCACCGCAGGAGACAAGAAGAAGTCGGCTCAGACGGCCGTGTGCCGCGAGAGGAACTCTGAACTGGCCAGGTGGGGGGGGGCATGTATGGCCTCAGAATGGTTCATCCTGGGGGGGCGGGGGCATGTATGGCCTCAGAATGGTTCATCCTGGGGGGGGGCATGTATGGCCTCAGAATGGTTCATCCTGGGGGGGCGGGGGCATGTATGGCCTCAGAATGGTTCATCCTGGGGGGGGGCATGTAACGTTCTCTGTCTGACACAGCAGACTTCTCATGGGTGCTTCTCAACCTTGCGGTTAAGTCGCCGTATCAGACTGTGACCATAGGGGAGCAGTGACTGACCCTTGCCCTCTGGTTCTACAGGTCGGACCCCGTCAGGCCCTTCATCAGTGGCCACGTGGCCAATAGTATGGCGGCTGAGGTCATCGCCCTGCTGCACAGCCTGCTGACGGCGCCGGAGTCCAACACAGCCCAGATCTGGACCAGCACCGTTGAGAAGGTCTGCTCAGGGACTACACTGACGAGGTCACATGCCAGCTTCGGTCTCAGACCAGGGTTCCAATTAGAGTGCTGCTTTTCTGCTTTTTTTGCCCTTCTAATGACCTCATTTCTGAGCAGGAGGCTGCCAGCTACTGGGACTGGGTAGTTAATTAGCTTAGTTCCAAAGGACTGCATAGGCTTCAGCCCCCCCCCCCCCCCCACAAGAGTCTGAAGGTCCCAGTGTTTGAATTGAACCAGCCATGATAGCAGGAGATGATTGGGATGGAACTTGACAGACTGTTAATGATTAATGACGGGAATTGCAGATTAATTACTGATTAAATTATGTTGAGGTTGATCAGTCTAACCACGTTTTGATGTGACCTCAAGGATGGCATCGATTCTGCTCGTGGTTGTGTAGATGATGATGGTGCCCCCCCCCCCCCAGGTGCTGTCGCGGGCCCTGATGTACATCCCTCAGCTGGGCAAGTACGCCGAGAGCATCCTGGAGAGCGGCGGCAGCAGCGGCCGCAAGCTGTCCAAGCTGCAGGCCATCGGCAGGCAGGCGGTAGCAGCCCTGTGCGCCCTGGGAGGCTTCAAAGAGACCATCAAGATCGGCTCGGAAGTGCAGGTGCGTTGCTGTGCCGGCCTCTCCTGGCCTCTTCTGACATGCGACTTCAGAGTATATTTTATCATTTAGCCTAAAACATTTGTCAGTTTTCAGTTGTGTAATTGGCATTCTGTGGTAACACAGAAAAGTAGCCAATTGAACTGAAAAATAAAAATGTTTTTGAGTATTTCCCTTTTTTTCAGCACTTGCATAATCTTTCCTCACATTTTTGCAACTATTTTTGCAAATACTTGATTTGCTGTTTCCTATGCTGGCCCAGGTGCTGGGGAAAGGGATTCTGGGAAGTGTGGGTGTAGTCATGTCCATCAACGAGCAGGAGGGCATCGCCACTGTCAAGTTCCCATCCTGTGATTACCGGAAGACCTGCAAAGCCTCCGATGTTCTCACGGTGCCTATTTCACGCCTGTGTACCCCACGCTCCGAGGTGAGCCCTCTCAAAATGTCCAGTATCGTCTTAAAATTGTTCAAGATATTCTATTTTGATACATATGAAAATGTAATGTACCCTGAAGTCATGGATGGATGGATGGATGGATGGATGGATGAATGGATGACTGTATTTGCACTCGACCTCCACTCTTCAGTGTCTTAATTTCATGCTTGTGCCTGCAGGCCTTACCTCTGTACAAGCTCTCCATCACTGAGAAGGTGGTGCAAGCTGTGCAGTCCATGCTTCTGCCACAAGAGGGCAGCCTCTCCATCCACACATCGCTCCCGGCCTCCGGGGATGGCTCCAGTCCTGTCATGGCGGCGGTGCGCCTGCTGGCTGAGATCCGCACCCGGTCAGTCCCACTTTGGGTTTTGCCAAACGTTTATCAGTTTTAGACTGTGGCAAAACAAGATTTGATTTATTTCATTTTTTTGAGATGATGCAAAGGCTCAGAAATCTTTTTATAAATCATTTATAATCACACTAAATAATTAACGGTTTTAGTTTTAGTTGAAGGATTAATATTCCCTTACTGACTGTTAGAATTTTTGATACTTCTTTAAAAAGGAAGTAGCTTAATTTCTGGATTGTTTGTAAATTGTTAGTAGTGTAATTTGCATATGTGTGGCGGTTCACATGCGGCCTGACAGCCCTGCCGTACAGTATCTGACCAGCAGGGTGCGCTGTGTGTGTTTCTGCAGAGCATGTCTGGTGATGGCCCAGCTGCTGGAGGACAGCTCGTTCTGTGAGGAGTTCATCCAGCAGTGCCCCGCCGCCGTGGAGGTGTTGAACCTGGTGGCCCAGGAGTGCAGCCCCGGTGAGAGGCCCCCCCATAGCGTAGCTTTTATTGAAAATGACTTCTGAACTTTATTAGCACATATTTATGTAGCATGACTATAGCTGGTATCAGGTTCAAGGGTCCAACAGCACATAGCCGCTGAGTGATCATTGTCAGGTAATTGTTAGAGGCAGAGTGCTGCTGCATGCATCTGTTTGTAGCTCCAAGCTGATTGTCCCAAGCGGGAGGCAGAGGGGAGAAATCCAGAGGAAATTGTATTGATAAATAGTGCAGTTTCATGCAGAAATTTAGTTAAGCAAATGCAGTACTGGATGACTGCATAATGAAGAGATGAGCCCACAATTAGATTACAACATAAGCGAGCAGCCAATAGTGGCATCGTGAAAGTAGGGCGTGGGCTCTGATTGGCTGACTGTGGCGGTGCTGGGCTTTGTATTCCTCTGTCCCGTAGGAGAGCGACTGTGTGTGGTTGAGGCCCAATGTGAGCGCCTGAGGATGCTGTACCGGGACTGTGCTCGTCCCCCACCCCCACCTCTCCAGACTGACCGCAGACAGGTGGGAAGGCCCCCCTGCCCCCCCCCCCCAGGACCCTGTTACACAGCTTTGGTCTCTCTGTTGTACTCACACTCCATCTCCCCCCAGCCCAAAGAGATCACCTGGTGCCCGTCCCGGGTCTTCCCGCCAGTGCGTGCCTGCATGTTCTCCTCCCGCTTGACCTCCGTGACCTTCCTGGCTGACCCCAGCGCCGGTGGTGGTCTGCCGCGGGGCACGTTCATCTACGCTACCTCGCCCGTGCCCGTGCAGGTGGGGAGCGTGTCTGCGGGACACTAAGGCCGTTCTCATTAGGCCTTCGCTTTTCAGATCTTACAGGATGTTGGTCATATACATAATGAAAGGAGTACACATATTTTGTGACTTGTGACATTTACTATACTTAGAACAGTCTTCAGATGACTATGGGTGTCCATCTGCTTCCTGTTCCATGCTGGTTTTTGTTTGCCTTCATAATCCAGATAGTTTGCTTTCCTGACCTATTCCTATGGGAAGGTTCATTACGCCTCTGAAAAAGAAATCTGTATTACTGTATATAAAAGAAGTTCTGGGCAGTAGAGAGAGGAAGACGGGAAGAAGCTGTAGGCATTAATGCAGTCTGTGTAATGGCGATGTGTGTCTGTCAGGCTCCCTCCTTCTACTGGGAGATAGAGATTGTGTCCTACGGGGATTCAGACGACGACAGCGGGCCCATTGTGTCCTTCGGCTTTGCGACGGAGGCAGAGAAGAGGGATGGGGCCTGGACCAACCCTGTGGGCACGTGCCTTTTCCACAAGTGGGTGTCTATCTGTCTCTCCGGTCTCTGTCTTTCTGCAGTCCCCATTTGTTAAACCTGTGCCTGTTTCCTCCTCTTGAAGTTTATCCTTCCATTAAAGTCGACTTGCTTACCTAAACCTGCTGGTAAAGTGGAAAGTTCTTCAGATTTTCCAAAATACTGGGAAGAGCTGCTACCCTCCTTGGCTTCCGTCAGATGTGACACACTGGTCTGGCTGCCAGTGGTTTTGAGAGTGCTGCCTCTCTAGGATGGTGTCATGTGACCTAGAGTGTATATGGAAAGCTGTCAGCTTAAGGGGGAGCAGTGCAGCTTAGGGCTGGTGTTGTTACCTCATGTTACTGTCACTGCACTGCCTCTAATGCTGGGAAGAACCAACACAACTAGAGTCATAGGAAGGGAGTGGCTGAGGGATAATGGGATGGACTGGGAAATGCAGAGCGGAGGGAAATGGTGGGAAACGGCCTGATAAATCCTGTGTCCTTTGCTTAGTAATGGCCGGGCAGTGCACTACAATGGGTCCAGCCTGCTGCAGTGGAAGAGCGTGAGGCTGGACGTCACTCTGCTTGCTGGTGAGTTTGGACAATTGCATCACCATTTATCATTACCATTATCAGAATACCTGCTGAGTACCATCCAGTGCTGGATGAATAGGCCCTGCCCTGTCCTGTATCAGGTGACGTGGCTGGGATTGGCTGGGAGCGTTCTGAGGGCACGCCCCCGCCTCCGGGACAGGCCCCCAAGGGGCGCGTGTACTTCACCTACTGTGGCCAGCGGCTCAGCCCCTTCCTGGAGGATGTGGCAGGGGGAATGTGGCCCCTAGTGCACATCCAGAAGAAGGTGGGTGTGAGACTGGGTGCTGGGGGCTAGAATTAATGCGATATCGCTTTGATATGTTTTAATGAGGATTTGGTACAAAATTGCTGCATTGGCTTTATTGCTAAAAAGTCAATGTATAATATAGATATCGACTCCAAAATAGAACTGTATCCATAAAATTTTAGGAAAATGGCTGAGTAGCAGTCGTTGCTTTTGTGTCGTGTATTTCAACAGGAGACTTGATGAATTGTGTTCAACTGTGCCTCTTTGAGAAGGGCCGTTGAATTTAATTTACTTTTCATGACAGTACAATAGGACTGTAGATTTAATACCGTCTGGATTGTTAATCATATTGTCATTGATGAATGTGAAATGGCAGATACATTTTTTATGGTTAATCGTTTTTTCTCGCTCACTGTGAAATGGACCCATGCTCTATTAGAAACATTTGTGTTTTGAATAATGGTTCTGCTACAGTGGTGTTCTCTGCATTTACCGCATTATTTTCATCGATGATTGTTATTACTGTCTGTGGGATTGACCATCTTCACACGCAGGAAGTGATGTTAGGCCGCCCATCGGCGCTTGTTTGCTTGCAGAACACGAAGATTCGCGCCAACTTCGGCTGCCGACCATTTGCGTACGCGGAGGGCCAGGCTCACCGTAATGCCGCCGACCTCTGCGTCGATCTGGCTCAGGAGATCAGCGCCAACTTCGAGGTGCTCCCCTTCGCCATGGCCTCCGACAGTGACAATGATGCCGGCGCCAGCGTGGCCTCTGATCCGGGCTCTCACGGGCCGCCCTGCCGCATCGCCGCCGTGGCCACTGCCCAACAGCGTGAGTCCTGCCGCTTAACGCACCACAGCGTCATGCCGCCGGCTCACACCTTAAATTCTCTATTTATCTGTGTAATATGCTCACTTCCCAACAACGTAACAAATGTATCATTTTTGACTCTGTGGGTTTGGATTCGTGATCGGAAGATCGCTGGTTCAAATCTCGCAGCTGGTGTAGTGCTCTCCCCATTGGGCCCTTAACCCCAACCGCTCCAGGGACTATTTGACCCTGTTTTGTAATACTCACTTGTACGTTGCTTGGAGAAATCGCCCAGTAAATAAATATGAAATGCATATTGACACTTAACGTAGGAACAGTATGTTACGATAGCGTCCCTGTGCATGTGAGTGCATGTTGCTTTCTTGTCTTTGCACTGTTTGCTTATACCTGACTGTGCTTTTGGGTTAACCCCTCCTTTCCATCCCACTCTCCTACCTGTGTCTGTCCCAGTGGGTAGTGTTTGTAAGAACTGGCTTTGTTGTTTGCCCTCCCCTGTTGGGATAGAGTACAACAGCGACTTGTCCTGCCACTACAAGGTGGAGCTGAGTTACGACAACCTCGTCACGTCGGGGCCTGACCCCCACCCACCCCCCATTGCCGACGACGAGAGCGATGATGATGACGATGATGATGTTCCCAGGGTAATGTTTCCTCCCGCATCCTGGTGATTGATGCCCATTCTGTTTCCTTTGGTTTTTCCTTGAGCTGGCCGGGGATAGTTGTTTGAGAACTCCTGTGTTATCTTGCCTGCCCCCTACAGGAGGACCACTATGCCCTCTTGGTGAAAGCCTGGGAGACCAAGGTTTTTCCCACCATTCGGCGCCGTTTCCGGAACGAGGCAGAGAGGAAGTCTGGCCTGGATCAGATTAAAGGGGCACTGCAGTTGGGTGAGGACCAGTCAGAACTTCAACTGGGATATCACATGGGACCAGCTGGTCTTAATATGCTTTTTGATTGGTTGAGTGCTGCAGTAGAGGGGTGTGGTTTGAGAAGATCTTAAAGACTATTGTATGCTCGTCAGAAGGTAGGAGTGAGCAGTAGGTTACGCTTTTGCACCACTTTTGGAAAGGTTGGACACGACCACGATGGTGATCAAAGCCCTCAAATTATTGACTTGGCAAGTGTGAGCTTTAAAAAAAAAAACAGATTAGCGTTTAGTTTCTGTAAAACCAGATTACAAAATGTCTTTGGACTGAATGTATCTGCACAAGTGACTTGTTTTGAATCAACATTTGCTTGATCTGCATATATGGTAAATGACCTTGTTACTTCTGATTGAAACGCAGGTATGGTGGACATCGCCCGGCAAACGGTGGAGTTCCTTTATGAGGAGAATGGGGGTATTCCCCGTGACCTCTACCTGCCCACTATAGAGGACATCAAGGATGAGGCCAACAAATTCACCATCGACAAAGTCCGCAAAGGTGCACGACTCAAACATCTGAGGTGTTCTCTGTCTTTGGTCCATTCGCCTGTGACTGACCACTTTTCTTCAGCAGGTCTGACCGTGGTCATCCGCTGCCCAGACAGCAACAACACCAACAGCACCACCGGGGGCACGGCCCTGCCCAAGTTCGCCATCCGGGGCATGCTTAAGACCTTTGGCCTGCATGGGGTGGTCTTGGATGTGGATTCGGTAAGGCAGCGGTACTCAGGCAGACCCTGAACCCCTGAGCCATGAACATAGGCATTGATAGGCACAGTGGCTTTAGTGCTGATCCTCACAGGTCTTCACTGCACCATCTAATGGGCCAAACATGAGATTTGTTCTTCTGTTATAATGTACTAGGGGTGCATATAACAGACATCAATGGGATTATTGTTTCCGTGTTTTTAGATGAATGAACTGGTGCAGGTGGAGACATACCTGCGCAGCGAGGGCGTTCTTGTGCGCTACTGGTACCCCATAGAGATGCTGGAGCGCCCCCCGACGGGCTCCCGCCGCACTGCCGCCAATGGCCTCGTGTCCCTGGACAGCAGCAACATCCAGATCCACAGGTGGGGATGGTCCACACTCAGTTCCTGATTAGTGACCTGTGTCATAGTGCAGGCCATTTCTAAACAGTGAGAGATGCTTTGGCTGATGCTGAGGGCTTTCTGAGACTGGTCCACCATTGGTCAGCATCATGTCATCTGACCTGCTGGGTTCTGTTGTAGGGAGCTGCTTCGCTGCGAGGGGGGGCTGGCGCGCCTCTACTGCCGCATGGCCCTGCTCAATATCTTCGCCCCCAAGAGCCCCCACACCTTCACCCGCCTCTTCCACATTCCTGCCGTGCGCGACATCACCCTAGAACACCTGCAGCTGCTGTCCAATCAACTGCTGGCACCCCCTCTCCCAGGTGACTAAGAAGCTACTAAGGGTTGGTAATCCAGGGGGGAATGGCCAGTGAGGATGGGCAGAGCCAGGGACAGAGGATGGCATGCTGATGTGGTAGGTGGCGGGGGAGGAACAAAGGAGAGTAGACTAAAGCTGCTCTGTCCCTCTTAAATTATCCATAATTAATTATTAGAGGAGGACAGACTGAGTAGTGTCTGGATTGCTTGTTGTCATGGGGACAACTAGGGTAGTTGCTGTGGCTGAGGACGCTTTGATATTTTCCACCATTGATGGGAAAATCTGAAGGCCATTCATCATTTTGACAGATTAGAACACTGGGCAATCTACCGTGACTTTAATCCCTGTCCAATTGGTGGCGAGTGTGCATTTAAATTAGCAGTTATCTAGTCTTGTATTCGATCTCACATGCATAATAGACTTGCTGGTTGGTTGACCACAAGCACCGGCGGTAACATGGAAGTTTTTTGTGAGAAAAGAGAGAGAAGTAATGGAGCAAAAATTGATCAGGTGGAATTATTTTTGTACCTCAGTTACATTTAATGCATTAATGAATAGCTCAGCCTTGGAGACGGGATGAAGAACTGAGACATTCGGGGGGGGGGGGGGGGG